ATGCGCCACCCAGGCTCTCTGTTTCAAGACTCTCTCTCTCTCTCTCTCTCCCTCTCTCTCTCTCCTCCTTCCCTTCTCCCTCCTCCTCGTGGCGCCTTTCAACGAGTACATTATGCAACGAGGGTGCTCGTCGAGGCAAGGGTGCTTTCCTTCGGGTAAGACGTGGCAGGGGTGGCGGTGGTCTAAGGTCGTAGCCACCACTGTCGACTCGAAGACATTTCTTGCCCGTCGAGCAACGTTAGCCCCCGTTAAAAGTTAGATTAGTCTAAGTAGCGCGAAAGCCCTAATGACTAAATGACAAAGAGAAAAACGAGGGTGGTGGGGGGGTGTAGGTGGGCTAAGAGGACGGTTGGGGTAGGGCTAAGTAGTTCTTCGCCATGATTTGGGTCACAACCCTTGGAACGACAGGGGGGAGTCTTGTCCTCCACGGGGGTGAGATGGAGAAGGAAATAATTCACGTTTTCACGGTGAAAATTAGGGTGGCTGGTCGGGAGGCTAGACGTGGGGCTGATGGACCACTCTCCCCCTATTGTCAATCGTGTTTTCGACGCGGTAATCGACGTTTTTCGAGGCCATGCGTTCTCGACGAGGGTGATTCGATTCGGTTCGACAGGTTTTCGGGATTAATGAAAAAAAGGACCACTCCTTTTGAAGGATCTTGAACGAAGGGAAGTATAATAAGTACTCTTTGAAGAATATTCCTCTAACCTAACCTAACCTAACCTAACCTAACCTAACCTAACCTAATCTAACCTGACCTAACCTAACCTAACCTTACCTAACCTAACGTAATCTAACCTAACCTAACCTAACCTAATCTAAGCTAACCTAACCCTCGACGAATTTGACACAAACAAACTCGATTCGTTTAAAATACTAATTCAAGAAGGTAACCAAGAACTTCTCTTGTAAGAAGAATATTTTTCGAAAGAGGGAGAATCTTTTTTTCGTTAACAATAGCGAGTCTTAACTTAAGTCCTTCGAAAAATCACTTCGGACAACTTAATCAGAGAGAAACGTTCCTTTCCTTGTTGGAATCGCTCGGTCAGCTCGACGACCGCCCCGACCACTTATCTCTGATAAGAGATTACAAGACAGGGAACGAAATGTGGCCCGTGAGTCGTAACAGAGATCTAACAAGGCCGGCACATAATCTGGCAGCCGGATACGACACGTAGCTCCTTTTGGCTGCCGGTCAATCCAAGGTGAGTGGAAGGGGTGCCTTACGTGTAAATCTACAAAAACGAAGAAAAACGAAGAGGACGTCACATAAGGAGACCCAGCAGGTGTGTGTTCGTCGTCTGCCTATCGGGCAACGAAGGGAAAGGGTCTAAGCCCCGGCTAAACACGACGGAATGTCTATAACTCTCGGAACTCGTCCATCTCGAATTAACCTCTCTCTCAATTAAGACAATGGTCCCCCTTTCCCTCCAGTCCATCCGGACATCCTCTTCTCGTCGAAGCTCGAGAACGGAGCAGCAACGAAGGAACGAGGTTTCTCAGGGGTTCTCAAACAAGTGTCCGTCTGACCCTCCCCCCCCCTTTATCGCCCGGTTGAATGTATATTTATATGGAGAACTGTGGAGAGAGGGGGGGCAAAGGATCGATGGAAGGACGGTGGAAGGAATTGCCAGCTTTCGGCCTGGCCAGATGGACAGCTGTTTGGAAGAGAAATGAGAAAGTTTGTCCATTCCGAAGAAGGGGGAGAAGAGTGTTATCTTTTCAGGGGTGGAAAGTTGTGATTTTGACGTAAGATGAGAAATTGGTACGGTTTTCGTACCAATTGTGTGAAATACGTTCAAAATATATTCAACGCTCTCCCTGATATTCCGATGAATTTTTTCCACACACGCGAATCTTGAATAATGAATTTTTTCTTTTCATCCCTTCACCCTTCGTAACATTTCGAACAGTAATAATAAAATGCGTTGCGTTCTACGTTCCCTTTTCATTGTTGGTAACCTTGCCCTCCTTTTTTTCTTTCTTTCATTTAATTTAAATTAACAATCAAACTGAAGATCAGTTGTACAGACCTATGCACAGCTACCAAGGTCTGCCAAGATTCTTCGTCACGGAACGAACGAACGGAATCATGGATGGTCACGGGTTATCGATCGAGGGTGGAAGAGCAACACGATGTCACGGGCGCGTACAGAAGCGCTTGGGAACGCGATACAGGAATGCAGGAGTGTCGTAGTGAGGGGAGGGGGAACGTCGATACGTGTCTCCCTTTCCCTTTCCCTCTTCCTCTTCCTCTCTCTCTCTCTCTCTCTCTCTCTCTCTCTCTCTCTCTCTCTCTCTCTCTCTCTCTCTCTCTCTGCCTCCTTTCGGGTGATCGCTTCGTCTTGAAGCAGTCCACTCTCGCTTTCGCCCAAGACGACAAGGCTTATCGATTAGTTGGCCGGATAGATGTGGCTCGGGATCGAGCCAGCATTCGATCCGACCGCGTTTATCTTCCCGCGAGCGGATGATGGTTGCTCCGCAACTTCGTCTTACGGGACATCCGGCAGGAAATGAATCTTCTTCGTTTCGAAGGACAAATGCGAATGGAGAAACGAATGGAGTTCGCGGGGATGAATTTGAATCGTGTAATTCTCGTTTTTTTCTCGATCGTTAATCAAACCTGTTGAACTACTAACTAAGTTGTAATTAGCTTGTTAAGGCAGGAGGGAATTGTGAATTGAATTTTGTACACGGAAAAATTGATTTCAGATAAGATTGTAATTTATTATATATTATAGTTGGAGCGAATATTGAAATTTTGTACGGAACAAATGATTTTGATTAATATGAATTTTATTCATATTTTAATTTCATTTTCATAATATATATGTGTATATATATATATATATGTATGTATATTTATATGTTGAAAAGTCGCGTCGATAAAATCGATATTAACTCTAATTTTGATTTTATTTCGTTTAATTAATATATATTAAAGTGTATATTAATGTCCAGTTTATACATATCCAAAGAGGGATTTAATAACGATATTTAATAATTAATTTGGGATGATAAAAAAGAAGATGAATTAAATTAAAAATAAATTTAAAAAGAGAGAGAGAGAGAGACTTTTAATTGCTGGAATTTCTTTATACGATAAATAATAAATAATTACTATCAAATTATTAATAATTTTCTTCGAACTATTTTCCTCGCGAATTTTCCACGCTATTTGATCTAAAAATTTCAAAAAGTATGACTGAGGATATCTATGAGGATACTTTTATTAATTCTCATTGATTCTCATTATTCGTTAAATCAACCTATATCGAAAGAGTAAAAACAATTAGGGGAAAAATTTCGCGGATAAAGTGAGATAATCTGAATTTTTTCGCGATGAAAAATGAGATACACAGGGAATGAGCAAAAAAAGCTCTTTAATAGAAAGCTCAATAGCCGTTGTATCACGGGCTCGATTTCCATATTCGATTCGGATTGCACGATTTTAAGGGCCGGCTTAAATTATTTCACATAAGCCCTCACGCTGCGTTCACAGCGAATTTGTCATAAGCCAACGTAAATTCGATGTAAAATCAAGATATACGTTTCGCGTTTCGGTAAATGGATCATCACACGATAATATCATTCGTGGTATAAACATACGAACGAAAATCCACGATGTCGAAAGATCGCAATTGCGATAAGAGTAGCTTCGAATTTGCATCGCTTAAATAAAATTTCCTATTAAATTCTAATAGGATCAAATTAATATCGTCGATACGATAATTGTATGTATGTACATCCATAATCGCGCCTCTGACCTTCTTAAAAAAATTTTCACGAAAAACGAATTTTTCTTCGATGCTTTCGAATATTTCACGCAAACAAGAAATTTTTTTTTAACATTATTTTAATCGTGATTCATCGATCACGTGAGTGGGGGATGAAAAACGAAATCTAAACACGCATGGAATAGATCGTTCGATGAATACCAAAGTAAAATATCGATTTTATCAAAAGCACGTTTTTTAATCAAAGACGAAAAAAATCGATCAATTTCAATTGACTCGACACCTTCGAGTGAAATATTATCCAAACAATCCACATAAGTAACACAGATCTCTTTTCACGTACAACAGCCACGATTTGCGAACACCTCTTCCGCTTTATTCTCGAAAATTGCTCGAGCAAAACGAACGGAATCCCGTTCAAATAATAATCCAGGCAAAAATTAATTCGTATAAAGACTTGGGATTTTCTGAACCGCGGAAACATTTCTGCGAAACGGAGCCAGTTTCGTGATCATTTCCGGCTTCTGTTCGACCACTTTGCTCGCGCATGTATGAAGAATTGTATTTAAAATTCATTTCCCCCTTAACGGCAGTTTAATCAAAACCCCTCCACTTTGTCTTCGTCATTAAATTATGCTTTTTCCCTTCTTTACCATACCGTGCGAAATGGCGAGTGTGTAAGATAGCCAGGGGCTTGAACGAGATCAAAATATTTCGTTGGATGGAAATAAATAAAGCCGCGATGGGATTCAAACAGAGCTATCCATTTCTATCATCTAAATCACTTTTATCTCTAATTTCAAAATAATTTCTGACCGGCCGTTCCTTGTGTTCCGTGGCAACGGAACTTGCCTTAGGGGAGAAAGAGAGAGGGAGGGATGGAAAAAGTTTTAACTCGATTCGCTAATCATATCGCTTCGTTCGATATGGTACCCTTCTGTACTCTTCTCTTCTCGTATAGAGAAGATAGAGATGTTAATGTATATGCTTTCTTCGCTTTATTGGATCGTAAAAGGATAATTAAATGTTCGACGAAGAGGATCAATTCGTAAGTGTTCACAGTATTTTGCGATAAATCTTGTGGAAGAAGAAATAAAAAAATAAACAAATTTTTTAATTACTTACTCTATGGTTTCTCAGAGAAATGATAATAATAATAGTGATGATAGAATTTTATAAACGTTTTAAGTTTTAACATTAAATTGGAGATTAAAATATTTATAATATTATGATCAATAATTTAAATTTAGAAGAAAAACTCACCACTTGTAACGCTACACTCTAGTTTTCCTCAGATGTTTTATTCCTCCCTGAAATCACCGCATTGTAAACTCAAACTGGTAAACCCTGCAACATAAGAAAATTTGTCAATATATATAATCATATTTAAGAATATTCGCGATATGATCGCTAAGCGAAATATCTTGCTCGTATCTTAGCGTTTCAAAATCTGGTAAGTAGCTCTAACATCGGACTAGCACGTTTCCTCAATAGTTTCAGTAGAGATATTATATTTACGTATACACTTTCAATTTTTTGTATGAAATGATAAAGACAAATATGATTGCCGATATATTTCTCGATTATACTCGTATTTTATTGCAATATTACGAAATTGGTACAAAAAGAGTTAAAAAATAATATGAGTTTATTATAAGAAGATATTATTATATAGAAAAATTAAAAAAAAAAACAACTTTTTTTTCCATATTTTATAGAAATAAAATTTTCAATTTTCAATTCTGAATGTGTATTATTTAATTTTCCTAACATATCGACTAGAAAGTGAAACGGGGTCCACATGCACGGACAGTCTATTCTACCGGATGCACAAACGGGGTCTACATGCACGGACAGATGACTCCATAGATGAATACTACGCAATATATGACCGTATATCTTCGTATTTTTTAACTCTCGAAACAAATGTATATATTTTAAATATTCTAGTTTGAACAGTTCACCGATTCTTTTCTTCTAACTTTTCTACATGCGTCAGTAAGATTTATTGAATCCTGTGTGTATATTGTTTCCGATAGGTGTTGTATCATGTACTGTTCGTCTCAACCAGATATCAGGCAAAACACACCGACTCTCGGCACAAATACGCACGTGCAAACACGGTATACACGCGTCGAATCCTCGTAGCTCGAGGACACGATGTTCTCAAGAAAAAGGGAAAATCTTGTGGACGTTCGGGCGCAGGAGCCAAGGATCGACATATGTTCGCGAAAAACTGTGAGCCTAGCAGCAAGAGAAGCAGGAACCTCCTTCGATCCTTGGACGTAATATCTGCAGTTTGCTGGTCCGCAAACAAACTTGCCTCTGTCCCTTCGCGCGAAACTCTTTCTTCCTGAGCTTTCTTCACTGTCGACACTGTGGCACATCGAATTGTTTAGATTCGATCTAAAATGTCGGTCAAGAAAACGTTCGAGGAAAAAATTACTCTGTCGAAGGAATTCTGCTTGTATTTTAACAACTCGAGAAGATTTAAGTATATACGTGTATTCTCTCGAATATTTATTTATTATCGATGTTTTTAAAAAGGGATAAAACTATCCAACAACTCGAAATTACAAACTCATAATTACGGATTAAACTATCCGATCAAAATTGGCGGGCACAATCGGTTAAATAAACAAAATTGAATTACTAATTATCTATTTAACATCCGTACGAAATGATACAAAAGCAATCACTCGAAATACTAATATATGTAATAGTAATATAAATTACTTTTATCGAGCGAATTTCCAACGAAATGAATGTCATAGAGAATGATATCAAGCGAATAACAGAGGAACGAATTCGAAATGATGAAAATTGACAATTTAATCCTTCGCGGGTTATTCTCAAACTATCTTTCGTCATTCGAACCCATCGGTCACCATCGTCCACACACACACACACACACACACACACACACACACACACACACACACACACACACAAAATGTTCTCGTTAAATAATATTTGAAATGAAAAATGAAATGGGGAATAAAACACGAAACCTATGATAAATCAACCGATATAATTGTAACAAATCTACTAATTATCATCACTTTATCCCTATTTCCAACAAATTCTCTGCCCGCGAAATATGTACGCGGAATCGGTTCGAACAGTGTTTCGAACCGATCAAAGAATTTTCGAACGGAAATACAAGCTCGATATATAATATCGTTATCATTCCAACGGAATGACAATAGATCGTCTGAACCTTTTCCAAAGCTGTGCACGCGTTTTTCATCCGCTCTCCTCCCACCTCCCCACCAAGTTTCACATCCGTTCGCTGCCAAATTAATTCGTCATATTAGAAAGGTCGCATAAACGCGTTGCGTATACCACTGAAAGCATAACGATGTAACGGGAAACCATTTAATCTTTCGCGGTCAAATATGTTCCTCTCTCGTCGGGCGAGCGTTTCGTTGATCTACATTAATTTGAAATATTAAAACGTCGCTGGGGCGAAAGTGGCGCTGCGGTCATCGTTAAATATGACAAAGCTCTACCCACGGCCATTTAAACGCTTCACGCTTGGGATATATCCGCCGTATTGCTCTTTTTGTCCTACGATTTTGATTTAATTGGAAACAACGTTGGAACAACGTCGGCTTGCATTCAGCCCGCCAACGATTTTTTTTTTTTTTTTTTTTTTTTTTTTTTCAACGAACGAACGATGCCCCCATACGAACAACAACAAGCGTTTTCTTCTCGTTATTTGACAAAAATTTATTTGAGACGTTTACAAAGTTTGAGGATAAATTGAAATCGAAATTAAACTTTTTTTCTTTTTTTAACGAGATTCTTCGAACAGATTAATTATTACGAAACTTGGAGCCACGTTTTCCGCAATCGATGGAATTTTGGCCAATTTATTAGCGAGATACGAAGAAGAATCGGAGAGGAGAGAGAGAGAGAGAAAGAGAGAGAATTATTGTTTGTCCATAGTTTATTCGAACAGCTTCGAATAAAAGTGTAATGTCGATTCGTAAGAGATTCATAGTGGTGAACAATTGGTCCCAAGGAAGCAGTAGAGGCAGAGAAATCGCCCTCGTAGGAGGCGATCCTTTAAACGTAGAATGCATCGTGAAGGCAAGACAAACTTGGCATTGGATCGATCCCATAAAAGTCGATCGATGGAACAAGAGGGGGAATATTTGAAAATTGAAATTTGATAATTTAATCCCTTTTTCTTTTCTCTTTATTTTGGCATTTTTTCCGAGGAACGGAAAATCTCGTATCTAGAAATAAGAAAAAAAAACAAAAAAATCCAATTTTAAACAGGACAGATTCAAAGATATTGAATTTCGAAATTTGAGATACGAATTTCACTTTATAAATATTTTATAAAGTTGAGACTTGTTTGTACACTTTTCCACGTTATATTTGCATTTTATACACTGAAATTTCCTATAGACGTAATATAAATATCGATAATCTATTTACAAGAAGTGACGTAGAAAATAAATTTCGATATTCATTGCACCGAGTTAACCTAGAGATTCGTAATCAAATTTAAAAAAAAAAAATTTTTAACCACCGGTTATCCATCCCCAAATATTTCTCTTTATATATTCCGTCTAAACGAACAATTTGTGCATAAATTCGGCAATTGTGTCCCTCGAGTTTTAGCAAGTTTTAATAAGTCTTCTTGTCCAAACATCGTCAACAGACGATCAGAAAACGTTACCAAACAATCCAATATTACTTTGTACGCTCATTGCCGGTGTAGTTGGCTTTATCATTGTACACCTCCATTGTTCCCCAACCAATCCATTCGTCCCGGTAATTAGTTCTTAGCTCCTCCATTGGAATGGAAAACTGTAATCAATCGTGCTTTTGTTTCTTCCGAGCAAAGGAAAATCCTGTTACAAAGGGTACAACAATACGGGCAATTGTGGACATATTGTATATTCACGAAAGTATGATTTGTAACTAGCTTTCCAAAGGAGCGATAAAAGCGCAAATAAACAGAAAATGCAGAATGAAAATTTTCAACATGTAAAGGACAACGATCTGTAACAAGAATTCTAATTAAACTAAACTCCCTGTATACGTCTATAAGGACAGTTTATTATCATTAGAAACTTTGCACTCTTTTAATTCTCAACATATTCGTTTATTGTTCATTCGAATATATTTCATTTTAACAAATATATAAATTCTCGATATTCCCGATACTCACGACATTGCTTTCTGGAAGGAGGACGTATCTCCTTTTCCCCGATAACGCGCAGTCTAGACGTATTCAATAACATTCACCAAGCATACGTAAGGAATTACCAATGTGTATTCACCGTTTTCCTCGAGCCACTGTGGAACCTGGCCTGTCCACACCGGGCCGGCTCGGTTCTCGAGACGGCGGCTGCTTTCAAGGGCGATTTCATGCGACGACGATTTAAGATCCCCCTCCCTGCCTCAGCAGCCGTGGTGACCGATCTCGAGCTCCTCCTTTTGCGCACAAACCCATCGAGATTACCGCGAACAGAAAAGAGGCTCGACTCGGGACACGGTCAGGATTTTTCTTTTCTCGAATGACCGAGCATCGATCCCTTTCCTATTTCATCACCCTCTCCTCTTTCGTTTCTCTCCACAGTCTTTCCCTGTCAGATAGAGCTCGATAGTTATCGATGCTGAGTTCCTCGAGCACCACGATACTTGCCTCGTCAGGGAGGATTTAAGAGAGGATAGATCTTACGTGAAACGTACTCTTCTTCCAAATTTCCATCTAATTCGTGCTGCTATCTTTTTCTAATTTTTCATCGAATATCATGAATATATTTGTCGTTCATTGAAATTCAGTTATTGTTAAAATTATTATTATTCAGAATTCGGTAGAATTGTTGCTAAATGATCGCTCTATTGTTCAGAGTTCGATTCAAAGCTTCGATTCAAATTTTTATTATCTTTATTATTATTCAGAGTTTGGTGAAATTGTTGCTCTATTGCTCTATTGCTCAGAATTCAATTGCTTCCATTCATAAATCTTTATTATCTTTTTCTAATTTTTCATCGAATATCATGAATATATTTGTCGTTCATTGAAATTCAGTTATTGTTAAAACTATTATTATTCAGAATTCGGTAGAATTGTTGCTAAATGATCGCTCTATTGTTCAGAGTTCGATTCAAATTTTTATTATCTTTATTATTATTCAGAGTTTGGTGGAATTGTTGCTGTATTGCTCTATTGCTCAGAATTCAATTGCTTCGATTGAAATCTTTATTATTATATGTGAAACTTTTTCTTTTTCTCAAATTTCCATTAAATTCATACTTGTCGTTCATTGAAATTCAGCTATTGTTAAAACCATTGTCATTCAGAATTCGGTAGAATTGTTGCT